TACGGACTGCAACTTGTTGGATGTGGGAGCGGAAGGAAAGGCTCCGATCGAAGAGCACTCCGAGCAGCTTCAGCTCCTCCAGTCTCCACTTCCCCTATGGCTACCCCATTGAAAGTGGCTGGAGGAATCGGTCAGGGTTGACACTGATGGGAAATCGTCAAGCCTTTGTCGGCTCGAATGTGATCTTCTAGCTCTGGCCTGCGAGGGGGATAATGATCCACAGCAGTCTGGGGCTGCGCTGGACCTGAGAGCGTTCAGGGACGGGAGGCACTCATACAGCGTAGTGTCATCTGCATGCATGTAACGTAACGTTGTATGGCGGGCTGGGATGTACATTGCTGGGAGGTGATCCTCCGTGTCATTGACATAAAGGATCAACAGAGTGGGACCTAATATGCTCCCCAGCGGCACACCTGAGCTGATTCTGAATCCAGGTGAGATTTGGCAACCTACAACGGCCTGGATTATTATTATTATTCTTGTATTCCACGATGGCGTGACGCCAATAAAGACGATTGATAGAGTGATAGAACTGATACTAGCCAGAAACAGCTAGTTGGAAATAATTAACCGGGGAGGCAAGAAGCAATGGATCATGAAAAACAAGCGGGGGCAATAACGTTAGCAGGGGTGATCGAGATAGTTAAAGGGGAAGTTAAGGCAAAAATTAGAATTTCACCAGTTGTAGTCTTTGGGGTGCTGAGTCGAATGGTCGTGGTCCGAGGAAGCTGAGACGCTCCCTTCCTACTTGAATCCCAATCGAACTCGCGCACTTCCACCGAAACTGGGTGACTGCGCCCTACTAGATGGGGATTTGTATGCAAAATGTCACTAAAAGCGCCATTTCGTTCTTATAAAAGCACGGATGACCGCGATTGGCCCATATGTTGTAGTCTTTTGGACGCTGAGTCGACTGGTTTTGGTCCGAAAAGGCTGCGATGCGGCGTTCCTCCTTTATTCCCAATCGAACATGGTTGAAGAAGCGGTCACGTGCTCCTGCGTACACCAGTCACCTGGTCACCGTGCCTGCAGGGTACAACTTACTAGCCTGTTTGACCTTTTTTGGGTGCAGTCCTGTCACTCGAGTTGAACCCGAGTTGAACCTTGGTGTGAAAGTTGTCACCTGCTGGCGTGGTGACCAGGTGATTTGGGCAGTGGGCACCCAGGACCACGTGACCGCTTGTTCAACCATGTTCGATTGGGAATAAAGGAGGAACGCTGCATCGCAGCCTTTTCGAACCAAAGCCAGTCGACTCAGCGTCCCAAAGACTACAACATATGGGCCAATCGCGGTCATCCGTGCTTTTATAAGAACGAAATGGCGCTTTTAGTGACATTTTGCATACAAATCCCCATCTAGTAGGGCGCAGTCACCCAGTTTCGGTGGAAGTGCGCGAGTTCGATTGGGATTCAAGTAGGAAGGGAGCGTCTCAGCTTCCTCGGACCAAGACCATTCGACTCAGCACCCCGAAGACTACAACTGGTGAAATTTTAATTTTTGCCTTAAGGTGGCAGTCTGGGTTCGCGGCCCGACCGCATGAACACAGCCGTAACTTCCATAATAATTGATGAATTTTGCTCAAATCTTGACCACATACCCAGTGTATTTCACTAAGTCCAATGAAGTATAAATCAAGCTCACACATGGGAATCCGCAGACACAATAGTCAAATCTGCGATTATGCCGTACCACCAATACCTTAGACGCAATATGCAAACGCAGAAAGAAGCTGGGTAGAAACCAGGGAGTAGTAAAATACAGGGAGGTGACACGAGCATCCGCGGCCAGTTCGACGATTGCCTCACACCCGTTTTCACCCGGCGGGCGAGATTGGGGTAAGATGACGCAACGGCAGCTGGTGCCCATGGTTACAGAATCATGTATCCGCGGTTCGGCGCGCGGATCGACCTCCAAAAGTATGCGCTCGAGTACTTGTTGATACGAGGGAGTTGGTTGTAGTATTTTTACTACTGACTGCCTGATTATTATACTTTTTAGGACACTGGACGAGTGCGAGTCGCGCGATCCAGCTGCTCCAAAAAGCCTGTGATCGTGAGCTAGCATGGTTGGACTTTGGACTTTCGATCTTTCCGGATCATGTAGATTTTTCAGTAAGTAGTTCTTTGATTACTTTTCTGACCTGGTTGTTACTGGTTGTCACTGCTATTTTTATGTTGTCTCCCTTGCAAGTTGGAGAGTTTACTGTCATCTTTCTCCTCTCGCGTTTCACGCTTGTACTTGTTGTAGTTATACTAGTATGGCTTCTTCGATAGCGATGGATATTGAGCCTCCAGACGAGTGCTCTGACTGTGATATGGAGGAAAGTCCTGCAGAGCAGGAGGATACAACTCCTCCGCTTGGGTTGCAGTCGATCCGTTGTGAAGATATCCTGACGTGGGCGGAAGGTAAGAAATATCTCTATGGCATCGACAACTTCCTTATTGTTTTTTTAATTATTTTCTCATGTGCTACGGATGGACACGGACACGCCACCGCAAGAAGCCATGAGCGGCTATTTTGACAAGGGCAACAAAGCGCCTCGTGGGCGGCCAAAGTTGACAATGGCCACAGGTGACGTCTGGTTGCTCCGCTGAATAAGCTCAGTGTGTCCATGAAGACCCTGGAAGAACTTTCCAGATGCCGACAAGCAGCGGTCAAGACAAACTGGAAGAAACTGTGAAACTGTGTGTCCTCGACACACGAGGAGAAATCGGTATAAGCAGCTAGTACATCGTGCTGAAGGTGTCCACAAGACGGAAGGGGAAAGAACGCTGAATTACTTTCTACTACTTGTACGCGAGAGGTGTTGCTAATATTATTTGCGACACTGCTTCCAATCTCTCTCTCTTGTGTCAATACATGTATTGTGGTTTATAGTTTGGTTTACAGCAGGGACTAGTTACTACTCCCTGGTTTACAGTGAGGGCTGCGCATGCGTCCCACCCGCCTGTGTGGATTCACAGGAAGTGTGAGTTACGAAGTCTGAAGAGAATGTTGAACGGTCTCTGTTGGGATGACGGCTACAACATAGCTCAGTGGTTAGAGCATCGCTGGCTACAAGCGAGGGTCCCCGTTTCGAGTCTTGATGACTGCAAAAAAAGAATAGGGATGTTATAATTTTTTCAATTCTTCTATTTTTTCACGCATTACCTGGGATTCGAACCCGCACTATCGCCCTACATGCATTCCCCCATACACTTCGCATTGATACTCATTCTTCCAAGTTGCTTCACGTTATGATCTTGCGTTTGAAAGCCCTATTTGAATAGTGCGGCCAGCTGTATTTGGCCAGCTGTGTTTGATGGTACGGTACGGTACGGGACAGATACGGGATAGCGCCAGGCGTGACACAAACACACAAACACCAAATTAAAGCTGTGTGGACCCTGGCTAGCGCCAGACGTTACTGAAGCAACGTCTTCTGCATAGCTATGGGAATAATTATTATTTTTACTGAAGCAACGTCTTCTGCATAGCTATGGGAATAATTATTATTTTCTCACAGAAGAGAGGAAAGTAGCATTCATTCACTGAAGGTAATCGCAGTGTGTATGTATCTATCTACTGTGTTCAGCTACAAGTAAAAACAAGAGTTTGCTGCTGCACCAGAAGGCTGATGCATCCGTGGCAGCAGATATTGCTGTCGACGCTGGCAGGAGCACTGCGCCCGTCCGCATTCTGCTCGAGGAAGGACGGCATCGTGTACAACAACAACAGTCTACTCACGCACAGCGTGTAGAGCTGTCCCGTTTGCGGAGAGGTGTGCCTCCTTCCCTAGGCATTGCATGGGCACACTTCCTCCAGACTGTGTCGCCTCATTTTGTGGAACTGGATCAGGACAGAAGTAAGTTACTTTGCTTTGTGTGGGGAAAGCCTTGACTGACTTCTTGTCAGAGGGGAACTTCAGGATAAATGATAACTCGAAGAAAGCTAAGCGAAACTGCTGGGTTGAATGAGCAAAATTGCTTAACTTTATATTCCCTTCACCCACTCCACTATGATGCACGCCTGGACTGCACTACTCTGTTACGCTAACTGCCTATACTTTTCACTGTGCTTCATTCTTTTTTTGTGTTGTGCCATAGAGAGACAAGTGCAATCATCACTGCTTGCTCAACTCGTTGACAGTGTGATTGATGGTAGCACAAGTGTAGCAACAACACCACGTCTGGCAGATACGAGGTCAGCCCGACTAGCTTCCGACGTAATGGATCGTGCAGCCAACGCATCGGTACGATATCATTCCGGCTGGTGTATTGTTGCTGTTCGGAAACAGCTTCTACGGGAGAAAGAGCCAAAGCATGCTCTTCTGAGTCTTATCCCAAATTTTGGATGTGATATCCTTGCATCCAAACATGTCTATGGTGGTGATTCGACATCAGACTCGTCCAGTGCTAGTAGTGATGAGGACCTAGCGAGCACCGCAGCGTTCAGCAGGCATCTGTTTTCCCTGAGCGAGCATTGCTTGCCTCTGTTTATTCGCCTGCACAAGCTGTGCGAGGAACACCTCCAAACTGCGCTTCTTACTGCTGGAAAGTCAGCTCCACAAGAAGTCAAGCAGCTACTTCTGGCCGATGCCACTGTTCTTCAACAGTATTCTGCTATTGTTGGAGATGACAGCGGCAAAGATCTCCTACAGCGCATCGTGACGATGTTTGTGAAGAGCAAGCAAAAACAAATAATCCGTGAAAATCACCTCGCACCATCAACTACGTCAATTGCTCTGCGTGCTGGTTTACGCCCACCAACGTCATCCTCGCGCCAGAAAGAAGCAGTCAGCCGGAATGTTGTAGCCGTGCGGGCAGCGATTGGCAGAAAAGACCTTAATGCGGTTCGATCAGCTATTAACAGCGTGCCAGAGCTCGATAAAGCAAAGGTCATTGGTGATCTGAGTGTGAAGGAACTGCAGAGTATACTTAGTCTCAGCCCCCTGTCTCGTGCAGGCAACAAAGGCGCTCTTCAAGAGCGAGTCAAATCCCTCTTTGCTGAACAGATAGGTAAGATTGCCATTCACCACATCTACGTACATTTGTGTCTGCAGGTGTGTGTGTGTGTGTGTGTGTGTCCGTCTGTGCCCGTGTGAGTGCGGCACCGACGTGCTAATAATGTCACTGTAGACACTCATACAACACACACCTTTCGATAGGTGTTGTTCTTCTTCGACCTTTTCACGCAAACACAGGGAAACAACGTAAACCCGACTCGAGCAGTAAATACCAGAATGCTTCTGATGGAATAATGAGAGCGCAGCCATTCTTATCCGAGGTTGACAGCACACAGCACATCAGAAGGCACACACAGATGAAAGGAAACGATTGGAATAAACAACACAGTAAAATAATTCCGCTGCACGGCTTAACAGGCAAGAAAGAAAAACTGAAGATAGCCACTCAAAAACTGAAGATAACCACTCAGCCAACCACGCTATGGAATACTGTGCTATATCAGATTGCATACAACGACAATGTACAACATAACTAGCAGTGTTCTCTTGAAGAGTCAATATAAACAGTCGATATAAACAGTCGATATTACTGCGATATGGGCATTATAGGACCAGTCAAGGATCACAAGAATTAGTGGACGGCGATACAGAAGAGTGATAAGTATAAGTCTGTCCCCACGGATTAGCGCTGACAAAAAATTCTAAACTTATGCGCATACTTACCGGGGGCGAAAACAGGCCAATATGCGGCAAATATGCAGTATGATGCGGTCATCATACACGAGTTAGCTGTCATTGTGCTGACTATTGGACAGGTTCTCTCACCTACTGAGGTAGAGGCATGTTAACTGCTGCTGTGCCAAGGTTCTGGGAAAGCACACGGGATTGTGCAAGCGAATTCGCCTTGTAGCCGTAACCATACGCAGTCATGTTGTTATTACATCCACTTCCAGAGCGCTGCATGCCAAAGTATTGCTCTAAGAAATCCTGGTTGATACGGTACAGTAGTATATAACGCTTAACTGTTGCATTCATGTTACTTGCAGCTACCCACTCTACTAAGCCATGTATGCCATAGTACGTAATTGATATATCCTTGAAAAGCTGCGAGGAGATGAACTCTTTGTTGGCTTGGGTCATACTTTGGTTGTTTCTGGCCATACAATCAATTTTCCACTCACGAAACCACTGGTATGCAGATGAAAAGAGTTGCATACTAGCACAGTCATTGGACTGTATGCGGTCACGGGACGTGAACACTTGAATGAGATCTTGTACTCTGGCGAGAAATTGTCTGACTGCCACAGTGGCGTTTGGTTCTGATGTGACCATTTCCTTGATGACATGGCTACTAAAAACGTTGAATGCCAACTTGGACCTCATCTTCGAAAATGCCGTTAAGTGCACATGCTCATGACGTAGTGGTGTTGCTCGCAATGGGCGTTGGCTGTCTCTAACATACACTGCTCGTACCTGTGCCCAAACTATTGGTTCTCCTCTGTAGGTCAAAAGTCGTGTTGAACTTGGATGTGTTCCACTGCTGGATAAGTTGTTACGAAACTTTTTGATCAGGTGAGTGGGGTCTGACACAAAAAATATGGGCTCTCCAGTGTATGGGTTGACTGTTCGGTAAGGTACTTCATCATCAACATCTGAGTTCATCTTCATAAACAAACGGTTGGTTGCTGCACCGTCGCAACAAGCCAGCACAACATGAAACCCTCTGGAATATAACGCGGAAACTCCTTGCCAAAACATTCTGTCTATGTGGCTAGCTTTGACAGATCTTGTTAAAAAATACGCACATGGATAATAAAAAGAAGAAAACAGTGAACGGAAGTGAAATTGGAATGCATGGGTCGCTATTGAATTTTGCAATACATCACTTGGCTCACCCGCAAAGTCGACGAACCCAATCAGTTCATCGCTTCGCGGGTCCCATATTAGGCCTTCTTTTATTTTAACTTCATCGAAGTAGATCCCGCCTGTGTTGGCCCGGTCTACTTGCCCCTTTCCTGCGTCAGTAAATTTATCATAAACAGACCGCATTTCATCCAAGGTGCCATCGTTCCATCCCGACTGCGGGTGATTGAAATTACGGTACCTGAGGAGAGTTCGGCCAGACGGAAGTCGAAGGAGTCTGCTACTGCGCATATCTTCGTATGCAGCGGCTGAGCGGGCATGCTGATGTAGGCACCATCGTAGAACGCAGGGATGCCAACGCATCTGATGATCAGGCACTGTGAGTGCCCTGGCTTGGTCCTCAAGTAGATATTTAAACAAGATGTCTCCTGAATCTCCCGTGTGCTTCCGCACATGCGCATGAAAAGCCGCTTTGCTTTTATACGGTTTAGTGCTGCAGCCTGACCACAGACACTCGTACGCTGGGAAAAGCTGACAGGAAGTTTCCATTATTTTCGTATGATTGAAATAAATGTGGTTCTGCAACTCCTCGATTGTGCTAAATGATTCCGAGCAGTTCTTCCAGTTGCACTGAGGATTGTTAGCTTGAGCCTGTATCTTGTCTAGCCCATGCTCTAGTTTCGTAAACAATGTGGCATACTCTCCGTTGTGCTTTGTGGTCACCCTTTTTTTATTGAGTTCTTCCAATTGTTTGGCCTGTCGTTGCACAGACTTTGGAGCGGGCTTGGTCCTCACGCGGTCAACCAGTTCTTCCCTCGTTAAGTGAGTAATCGCAGTGCTTGCTCGTGATTCAGGTGTGCGATTCTTAAGTCTTGACAAGTCTTTCCGAAGGCTGCCGTCAAACTGTCGACATGTGCTGCATATCCCTGTGGCACTAACTAGAATTGCACAGCCCGATGTTCGAATGCACCTCTGTGTTGTGTATGACTCTTCAGCATACGCATTGACCGTCCCATCCTTTGACCTGAAAGTGCTTCCATCAAGTCTGGCTTTGAAAAGTGGCTCATATTTTTCATAATTCAACCCTTTACATATGGTTGCGTGTTGCACTGCTGTTAGCAAAGTTGTAAGCTGCTCGGTTGTTGTGAGCGTGACAGGAAGATTAGAGTTGAGAAGTGGAAGGCTGTGGTCATAAAAGTGTGTTGTGTATGCCATGTTGGGTTGAACCTTTATTGATCGCTCCGTAGCACCACCTGTTGTTCTGTAGTGCCAGATAATACAGCATCCGTTCTCCAGTGTTACTCTCCACCGGAAGTTGGTCGGCACTGCCCTTTTAATGCCATCAAAGTCGAGGGGAACATTAGCTTGTTTTAGTGATGGAGGAGATGATGCAGGGTCCCATTCTCCTACGCATTCACCAATACAAATGAGCAAGGATTTCCGCTCCTCGTCTGCAATTGACCCTTGCAGTGCTTTCTGTAGGCAAGCTGAATGAGTGACACGTACTGTACTGAAAACTGAGCTGAATCGCACCCAGCGCAGCTTACCACGGTATTTGCCAAACCCTGCACCAGGTGTTCTTGCTGTTGCACGCTGAAAGTATTTGCTGAGCCTTTCGCTTGACACACGGTCTTCGTTAGGTAGGACAAGATTGATGGCTCGTACCGCCTCTTGCAATTGTGGCTGTTGCGGATTTCGCACACGGAAGGGCTTATCATTCCCGAACTTCTCCATGAGGATGGAGTAAACAGTAATTTCACGCACACTCGGTGCTTCAGAGCCACTCCAAAGAATAGGCTTGGATGTGTCGGTGTTGCTGCCCTGTCCAGCAACTGGCTGGGTGTGACCAGGATTGGTCGTCATATCCATGGATGTTGCAGATGAATCTAAACCAAGTGGCAGAAAAATGAAGAAAGGGGCAGAACCAAACAATCATACAAAATACAAGTAATTGAAACATGGTCTTATATGAACGTATTCAGTGACATTTGCCGTGTGTGTGTGTCACTGTGTCACTGTGTGTGCATGTGTGTGCATGTGTGTGCATGTGTGTATGTGTGTGTGGTACATGATGTGTGTGCAAGTGTGTGTGTGTGTGTGTGTGTGTGTGTGTGTGCATGTGTGTGCGTGTGTTGTTGTTGTCATTCGCCTAGGTAATGCGGCGAGGATTGGTGAATCAACTCAACTAACCTGAAGAATGTGTTCCTCATGTTCTATGTGTGTGTGTGTGTGTGTTTGGGGGGGGGGGGGGGAGTGTGCATGTGTGTATGCATGTAGGAGGGGGGGGGTGACTGTGTGTGTTTGTATGTGCGCGCGCGTGTGCACGCGTGGGTGGGCGAGGTTTGGACAGTCATTTGAGTCCGGAAGAGCTCAGGAATGATCATTCTCCGCCCCTTGTTGTGTTCCTCGTGTGCTGTGCCACCGTGTGTGCGCATGTGCGAGTGTGTGCGTGTGGTGGGAGGGGGGGGGGGCGGGGGGGGGGGGGGGGGACTTCGGCCGTGTTTCCGCATGTGTAATCAGCTGAGTCAGAAACATAAAGAAATAAGCGTTGCTTACTGGTGAGTGCGCTGATGTCCGACAGTACACGCTGTGGAGGAAGGTCACCATCCTGGTCAATTCTTTTCCTCTTATATGGCAAGCCTCTGTCAACAAGAGTGCCAGTACTGTAGAACAACATTAGGTCAAAACAATGCCAAATCAGGATCACATTTCAGTCCAAATTACCAGCATACCATAATATGAAATGCTCATCGTTGTTGGGTAGGTAGAAAAGTACTACCTGATCACAACTGAGGCAAGAAAAGAGTAGATCATGTGGTGTCCTAGTGATATTTTCGGCTCCCAAATTTATACTCTTGCTCATCGAAGCTAACACACATTACTTACTCAAGGAAGTGACCGCCGTTCTCCTTGTCCATATCGTCGATAGGGGCAATTTTTTCTGTGATGTTGGTTCTCCCCACAATGACCATGGACGTGCGTACATGCGAACGTCCAAAAGAATACTGTTCTTCTAGATGTGTGGGTTTCTTTATGGAATTAGGCCTTTTACAAATACTCGAGATGGATTCTACGAATGGTTTTTTTGCTAAAAAATAAAAAACAATCGCGAGGCAACCATCAAAAATCACGATTAGTGGCGTGTCACCTCCCTGTATTTTACTACTCCCTGGTAGAAACTGAGTGCTCCACAGGATTTCCTTCACATATACCTAGGTGCTAAGTGGAGCGGAATTTTGAAATCATATTCAGAACAAAGTACTCAAGCTGTCAAACAAAAATCATGCAATCGCGCAAAATTTAGGTCCTCGATCAGTAGCACTTTACTCAAAGCTACTAGACAAATATAAAAATCCATGACACTTAGCACCTTGATAAATGCTCACAGTTTCCAAAAATGTATGGTTTATGGGGTCTGTGACTTACAGGTTCTTCGCTACGCTGTCTAAGAGGTACGCGACTCAGTGGAAAATGGAGAAAAAAAGTGCTCTGTGCAAGTACAGATGGAGGTATGTCTGTCCAACTAGAACTTACTAGAACTTAGTCGAAGCCACCAGCTTCATATGTCAAACCTTCTTCCTCTTGCTGCTCATCCTGGATGCCTTTCCTGATCCTCCTTCGCTTCTTTCGTGACCTCTTCCCTTCTTCTGACTTCTTTCTGGCAGCATGTGCCTGTCTCTCACGGTCTAGCAGCTTGATGAGACGTGTCGTATGGTGTCCAGTAGGGAGGCCCATCTCGTCCAGAACGCGTTTCACTGCCACACCTCCATCATTGAACCAGGCCACGGCCAGGTAGACGCACATCTGGACAGTGGGAGCGGATGCAAAGCCTGTCTTTGGACACAACTGCCACACGAGTCCATTGAACGCTTCGTTGCGATTCTGCGTAGCACCCTTCTGGCAGCGCTCGAGCAAACTCCGGTCGGACAACCGAATGTAGACCGGCTTCAGTTCCTTCCATACTGCCTCTGGCAGGATATTGTGGTGGGCGTAGACATCACCACCTGCCTGTTGCTGCTGCCATCTACACCAGCTGTTAATTCCAGGCGGACAATACTGGTGCTGAGGTTTACTGTCGCTGGATGCACGATGCATGAGGGATGCCCATATGGCCCTGGCCATGGCTTGCAAGTCTCCGCTGTTGTTCCGCACAGCCATGCCATAGTAGGCTTGCAGCTTGTCGATCATGGCATCCGTGAGGCGACCACGTCCGCCTATAGTGCGCCCATCAGCAAGCTTCTTGCCCGCAAGGTTTTTCTTCAGCTTTCTTAGGCTGGTACCGATGCGTTTTTGAACGTGGCCGACACATTCCTCCTTGACTACAGGCACCTCGGGCCCATACGGACAAGCGTCACGCACAGCCTTAAAACTCTTGGTATCTCCATCACCAATGTAGGTGGTGTACCTCAGCTTGCGGCTCTCAAAGGACCTGGCCCACAGAGTCTTGGCGGCTGCACTCTCCATGGCAGGAGCTGATACAGTGGTGTTGACTGAGCAATCGTGTTCGGCAATCTGTCGATCATAGTCATCTTTGGTTAGCTCTCCCTTCTCTTTTCTAGACGCCAAGTGCGTGCACTTGTGGCAAAACTTTGAAAGCACTTCGCAGTCCACCACTTTGCCGACATCATATGCAATTATAGTGAAGGCTCCGAAGAGCGATGCGAATCCTCGGCGCATCCAGGTACCGTCATAGGAAGCAGCGATATCGCTACCCCCATCTGCTGCGGACACTGCTTTCTCAGCTGCCTCAGTCATGCTACGCTCAGCGACGCTCTTGGACGCGGAATGCAGGCCTTTAGCATGGCTGTAAAATGTCGACCGACTCATAGGTGATGGCATATTCAGTGCACCCGCCAGCTTTACCATTGATTGACGTCCACGGCCAATCAGTCGCATTCCGAATACTGCTCGTCTGTTCACCTCCCAGACCCGATTGAACTTCTTGGACATAAATTCGCTTGCTATGTCGCCGCAGTTAACACAGGAAAGCTCCAGGCATGATGCAAGGCCTCCCCGTTGCGATTCGCTGATCGTGACTGCGCCATTACAGCCACTGCAACAAACTGCAGCTGACAAAAGCTGCTGAAGGCACTCGAGATCAATCAGGCGAAATCCATGCGCCCCTTCCTCACACTCTTCATCCAAGTCACTGTCGGAGGAACTGCTGTCGACTTCACCGCCACTTCCATCACTATCGCTGTTTGAAGACGTGGCTTCTGCTGACACTTCAAGGTCGTCATCAGACAGTGGCAAGTCAGGAATTTGTTTTGCAGGCGAAATTTCACCAGAGGGAGCCTTCGGCGCCTGAGACACTCCATAGAACGTTCTTTTCCTTTTCTTAGATCGTCCGGGCTTTCCCTTGGCTCTAGACTTCCCCATAGTAGCCAACGAAGGGGTTAGCTCCAAGAAACAATTACTCCAAAACAATTACTCCAAAAGTAACTAGTTTCAACAGCAGAGCGATCAGCTGAGATCATGAGAGTCGAAATTTGAATTTTTTGAATTTGCGCATGCGCAAAAGTTATCTTGGTTGCCATGGTGACAAAGATCGTGCGCGGCTGTCAGTCTGCAGCGCAGAGGAGTACCAGGAGTCGCTCCAGAAAATTTTAATGAAATCGCTCAAAGATTGACGGTAAAAATCGGAATAGTGTGCAAACCTAAATTTTGTAGAAATTTGCTGATATTTCAGTATTTCAAAAACAATTGTGCAGACTTTGCGCGGCTATATCTCCGGAAGGAAGCACCCGATTACGCTCACATTTTCAGGATAAACCCTTTGGACCATACACAAGACGCTGCCAGTGAAAAAATACAGAAAATCGAAACTTTGTTTTTTGACCCTCTGAACCCAGACTGCCACCTTAACTTCCCCTTTAAGTACACGTTCGAGACATCAGAAACCAGGGGGATGCGCGGAGCAGGAACAGGTACTGCTCAAAAGAAGACTGGATGCATTGGATTCGTCTATCCGCCAGGTAGCTGTGCGGAGCCACTTGAGGAGGTTCCCGGACACTCCCTAAGCCTTTGCCTTGTAAAGGACACCTGCAGTGGAGACTTTATCTAAGGCCCCCGCAATGTCGACGGCGACAATTCAACGGCAGCAATGCGTACAGCACCACCGGCAGATGCTATTTGCTCCACTGGTGGTGCAGTCCTGTCAGAAGGTCAGCAGGCCCTAAACCTTGGCGAAAACCAAACTGGCGGTTTGTACATAGTAGATTATTTCCTTCGGGAACGTTGGTGAACGCATGATTAGAATTGCTTCCATTGTCTTGGAGATGAGGAATAGGAGGGGAATGGGCCGATAGTTTGATAGTTCTGACTTTGACCCGGACCGTTTCTTTTAAAGTTGTGGACTGGGACGATATTTGCTAAGTTCCAAGACTGTGGTTGTATCCCCGACGTCATTCACTGGCGGAAGTGCAAATAGAATGGCACTGCAAGGCCAGTGCTCAGCATTGGCTGTGAGGACTCTGCCCGGAATTGCATCAGGACCTCTGGCTCACGCTTTCGAAGGATCAAGAGCCCTCAATAATTTTCGTACCTCAGCAGGGCGAATCACTATTCCACCAAATTAATGTAATTTTGGTGGTGGAATATAAAGGTATTCGCAGTGCGGACTGAGGAGATTGCACTCTTGTTTTCCAAATGCACCGCTACATAGATTCATTGTGTCTGTCCAGAGATTGGGTACTTTTACCAGTAATTTACACACATACCTGACCGCACGCACACAGACACACGCTCACTCACGTGATCACTCACGCATGGATCATCATCCCCTACGTCACAGTGGATACAACATTTCTGACAAAGCACACGGGCCTCCAACGAAGTCCGTTTTCAACTTTGAAACCCAAAAAAAGACAAAGCTAACAACAAAATTGAGGGAAGCGGAAGAAACGGGGAGAGAAATACAACAAGAAGCGGAGAGCAAAGAACCGTGCCCGAATGATCATGGACGGCATATATATATAAGTCATGTTATCAAACTGAACAAAAAGGGAAATAATCTTTTATAGAGGCTTGGTAGCGGCACTGATTCAGCAAGATATTTCCAAAGTACGTAGTGCGTGCATGCAGTCCTGAGCCAAAGCCGTGCCACTAATGCAGACACACAATGGGAAGTCCAGGCACAGCTAACTGGAATCACCAGTGTGAGGACTAAGCAGCAGCAGCAGCAGCAGGCTTTTGAAGCGCACAGCAAAGTCTCCATACATGAGACTGACTGCAGCTGATCGCAAACATGACGGTAAATTTTTGTTTTACTTGAAAAGGTGAACATGCAATTGAGCAGTGTGTACACGTGGCAGAGACCAGACACAGGCAGACACGAGCATTGCCGAAAATGCCAGCTGGGGGGGGGGGAGAGAGAGAGAGATCTAAAGTTGCACATTGAGCACCGCTAGTGCAGCGCCCGGTGGTGTGTACGTGTCATGACGTTTTCCAGGTTGACACACGCAGAACTGATCGCAATGCTCCACAACTGGCTGATGAAAGCACACGTTATTTGATGGGTACTAAGAAGCAAGTGTGAAACAAGTGTCAAGTGTGTCAGGAGGACTTAGCAGAGGGGCATGTAGTGAGTGGCAATCGGGCAATTCCGGTTTCGGTCCAGTGATAGATCATTAGAATTAGTTGTCAAGCTTTAAAAAAGTACTCTGGAGGTAGGTAATCTGGACTGGACCACCGCCAGCATAGGATAGTTATTTGCGATGATCTTGTAGACAGTGTTCAACATCATTGAATGCAATTTCATGCCAGGTGCAGACAGCGGTCCACCATTTGGTCCTGGGCTCGACGGGTGCATGCTGACCAGGGCACAAGTTGGCGAGGATCGGAACAGGCGACCAGATCATAAATTTAGAATCAGGAGACTAAACGCGAGTGAGGTAGTTCAGTACAGAACACTGCAGCTGCGGTCCAATCTGAGCACAGTGCAGTGCATTAACGCTGCAAACAACTGCACTGCATTCGACCGTGGGCTTTGGCGCTAGTCCACGCAGTTGTAGAACGCTGGGTTGTTGACATGGTCTAGATCTCGGTGACAACACCGCCAACACCGTCGGCGTTGCACGGTTGCGTGTAGACGACTGGAATAAAGCCGTGCTGATCATGGCGAGGCGAGTACACCCACACCCAGCCACGAGACTCGTGCGCCAGCTCCACATTCCCGTACACCACGTCACCTTTCTCCACCGACAGCTTGTTGGGACTGTCGGCCATAAACCGACTCACCACCAACAGGCAAGAGTCCTTGCAATCGCCATCATCGGTTTTGCCGTCGCTCTGGACGGGCTGGGGAGAAGCGTTGTCACTAGCGGGCGATTTCCGGCCCTTGGTCGAAGGTTTCGGAGCGATGGGAGGTGGCTGACGGCGTTTTTGCACTGCCAGTGGTGGTGGTACGTCTGGTGACTGTGATCCTCTAGCGGCAAGCTGCACGAGCTGGTCTGCCAGCTTACTCACCAGAGCCTCCTGCTTGGCTTCTTGCGGACCTAGAGGGCGACGCTGTGCCAGCTTTCTTTGACTTGGAGGTCGCCGGTCCGAGGAATAACCGCGCCTATCGTGAAGAATGGCATCAGGCGGAGGGGGCAGATCGGACGGTTCGTCCACATAACTGCCGCTGTCATTGGAGCTGGTTGGCAGACAGTGCATTGCTTCCTGTGGCGAGCTATTCCGTTGTTTGCCCGGTGGTGATGCCTGACTGCTGCGTAACACGGCAGTGCGATGCCCACTGGACATGGAGGTGCCGGAGTCATGCACACCTGGCCCATCACCGCCACTTTGCTGAGCTGCTGCTGCTGGCGTAGGTGGCGATGCCCGACTGGCAGCGGCTGATGGACATGGTGACCGCCCATGCATACTGGTTGGGGTGGCCGATTGCGGAGTGGCAATGCGCTGCTGGACGGCTCCTCTCCCGATCGCCGCGTAACCACTATCGGAGCTGGCCGTGGAGTGGCCCGGCGATAGATCCTGGGACGTGTACTTAGCCGTGCTCTCCACCCAGTGCTCAACACTGTGCTGCTGCTGCTGTTGTCGGGGCACGGCGGTCTGATAGCGGATGATGCCGTCCGAGCATTGCCCGCTACCCTGTGCTGCGCACCGATGCGAGGTCACCGTGCTGCACGAGCTGGTGTCATCCGATCTACTGACATTGCAGCCGCCACCGCTACCCTCACTTTGATTGGACAGCAGAGCTCCACTCTTGCCTGCACACGTACACATACGATACGAGCACACATACACACACAGAAAGTATTATGCGTACATTCAGGACTTCACATCGACTTCAGAAGCACAGTATGATCAACAAACTGCAGAACCTTGAGCAGTAAATGGTAATGACGATTTCCCTAGTACATACACAATCAGATCTATGTTCTCCTCAATCGGTATTGCCAGCCAGGCACTCAAAATCCATCGGAATGTACCGTCATATTTTCTGGAGTACTCGTCGCATTTTAAACACTGGTAGTTCACTGAGAAAGAAGTCAGTGCAACTTACACTACAGTCAGTGCAACTTACACTACGATGGTCACTGAAATAAACCATGAAATACCGGGTAGGTAGAGTGCAGCTAGATGTGTACGGTGTGAGAACCAAACTGTGTACTTAAATCACGCTTAGCATGCTGTTGTGTTGAGGTCGCATCTGCTCGAATGAGGCGAAGATCAACTGGGTAGACATGGACTACATAACGTGTAATGCATGTACAATGAATGTACGTGACATATGACCTACAGACGAGACTCAACGTCCGAAACAGGACCACAGAAGGGAGGTATGCAAACAGGACCACAGAAGGGAGGTATGTAAACAGGACCACAGAAGGGAGGTATGTACAGAAGTTACATGTACATTAAACTCATGTTTAACTTTACAACTTGGTACTTACATTGTTGAAGAAAGCAGGTTGGAACAAACCCTTGCTGGCCATTTCTTCTTTGGACCCTACTCCAATCAGGACTCTTTGGATCTGTGCCTAAGACAGCCACCGTCTCTCCACGGCGTACGCTGGCGTGGTCCACAGCATCGTCACTGAAATTGTACAGGAGCGTGGCGGCGTAGGGGAATCCCCCTGTGACGCTGCTCAGCTCAGTGGTTGTAGGCGAGCGCAGCACCACGTAGTCAGCGAACTCTTCAGAGTCGTGGCGAGACAGACTTGCCTCAGTGGCCGCCGCTTCACTGCGGTCCGCATTGTAAGCTTGCCAGCCAGCAGTGGACAACTTGGCGGACGTTCCACTCGCTCGTCGCCCGTCAGGCAGACTAACAGCACACTGATCAATCCGCTGACAGTACTCGGTGGGTACAAAGCCACACGATTCCACAATGCCAGGGATGTTGTAGAGTGTGCTGGCGTATGTCCAACTGCCCTCTACGTAGAGCACACGCAGTCGCTGGCCCGCCCGCACAGTGAGCTCATCGCCTGCCTCGCCGCAGAACGCTTGCACGACCTGCACAATCTCGGTGAGCGATGACAAGCTGCTGACACTGCCATTGCCAGTGACACTGCTGCTCATCGTCGTGGGAACGGCTGCAGGCATGCTGGACATGGACACGGTGGTGCCTTTCCTTTGAAGACTGGACGACTGGGAGGGACGCGGGCAGGTTGGGAGAGCACCGTGACGGCGGTGGTGTTGAGCAGTGGCGGCGGCAGCGGCCACCCTCTGCTGCTGTGACTGCTGTCCCTGCATGCCGACATTCTCACAGGGAGCATGCGAGTGGATGGAGGGAGTCATCGGTGGATCGATAACATCAACTGCGCACACAAAAAACAAGTCAGCCAAGAGAAGCACACCGGCATAAATACAGCTACTTTAAAAGTCTTAATATTGTGCTGCAAGAAGTCTTGCATGATGATGTATTCCACCCTGGCCAGAGAAATCCAACCCCATGAATAACAACGGGCGCTACGCAGCCCTAGCACTACAAACACTGTTCTGTGCACTCGAACGGAGCGCTACTTTATTCATGAGGTTGGATTTCTCTGGCCAGAACTGTACTTCAAGTACATGTGCTAGTAATACTCAAAGTATTTGCCCTATCCAAGTCCCATGCTCTGCAGGTGGACGTCAGCGGCACACACAGAAACATTTTTAAAGAACAAGAGAAACTATGGTGTGTTACACACAAACACACCCACACACATGCACGTACACACCACACACACATACGCACGCACACACACACATGGTTACATGCAATGTGCATGTGCATGAATCTTCCTTGGCGGCTTGGCATTCCAGAATCCAGAGTTGCGGCTCAAGGTACAGCATTTGTTAATTGTATCTCAGTCTGTCGTATAATGAGACTTGCATCTGCCCAGGCAGGCAGACACATTCAGTGTGTGTGTGTGTGTGTGTGTGTGTGTGTGTGTGTGTGTGTGTGTGTGTGTGTGTGTGTGTGTGTGTGTGTGTGTGGTGTGTGTGTGTGTGTGTGTGTGTGTGTGTGTGTGTGTGTGTGTGTGTGTGTGTGTGTGCACGTGCATGCATGCGTGTGTGTGTGTGTGTGTGCGTGCGTACATGTGTGCGAGCGGTTAGCTGCCTAAGGTGCAGCACAGATTCACAGCTTTGTTGTAATCATGGCTAGTGTTGTAACACTTGGCACTCTCAGTCTCAGTGTTTTAGTTCCAATCATAATAAGTACTAATAGCTACTATAAGATCCAATTTTACACACAGACACGTCATCACACAAATGCCTGAGACCTGCAGTGTCATGTAAGAGTACTGTACTACGCGTCATTCAGCAGTTTACTGCGCCAATAGAGGCTACAACTACATAGAGGTCTACGACCAACCAATGTTTGTTTAGTTCGAAGTAGCACATGTATCGATGATGACCTTCGTGTGCAGAACACTTTACAGTCTTTGCCCTGCCTACGCCTTCGCGTGACGTCCAGGAGCGCGTGAAGGAGTTTGTCTTTTCCTGCTAGAACTGACATGGCTTTAGCGCACTACCTCCCAGGACTACCAGGATACACGCCTGACCTTACAAGTTACAACTTAGTATAAACACAAGTAATTTATTGCGCTCTCGCGTTTGCTGTCGACCGGGGAAAACACTTGACTCACGAGTTGAAGTTTCACCGTTAGCTAGCCGAGCACGGTCATGTAACAGAACTTCCTATTCACGCTACTACAGTACACGACTGCATTGTGAGTATTCGTACTATAGCACGGAGCAGTGCCGCATTGTGCCCAGCTCGCCGACCTGTCCACAATGTCGTGTGTCTTGTTCGCGGTAAGGAGACGATCGCTTGGCATGGCGGCGAGCATAAACTCCCGTTTCCGTCGTATAGTGTTCTGCAACAGTCATGGAGTGGTGCAAATCATTCACCCATCAACCTTCACCTGACGACCGGTTGTTCCGCCGGGGTCGACGCTCGACGCCAGGTGAAGCGAAGCATTGCAGATACCTGCGAACGTTAACGTGAACACCTACACGAACTGCGAGTGCTCTTCTACCCAGGATATCCGCGATACTGCTGTCCAAGCATGTAACCAGCAAAGACGCTCTACTCGACACGAGCTAGCTTCCGCATGCGATGGAGACGACAACCACAAAGCTCCAGAGCGTCTAATACAATAAGGAAACAAATCCTTACCACTGTCTTGATATCACACCATGTACCAGAACAGCTGTATGCTGCACAGTAGTAGTATCTCAGCTGGTTTTTTTCTTCAAAAAAAGGTTTCCAAAAGTATTACCGGTACTACTACTAGTTCTTTCTCGAAACGAGGTCAAACTCAAATTTAAGTGCGAACACATGCCACACACGCATACACGGCTCATCGAACAGACTCAGCATCTCGTTTGTACTTCAACGAGGGCATTGTGCACAGCTCAGGGCAGGACACTAGGTGGGCATCAGAATACACACGAACACAATGCGGGGTAGCTCGTAGATCTACTTGTATACAGCGAAGAACAGAACAATAGAGAAACGGGAAAGAGAAGTAACTCAGCTACACGAGACATGCACTCCCAGGGTTCTGCATGGTATATCCATAATTGTCTCTGACTACCAAAGACCTTTAGTAGCTTTACATACACAACTAACAAGTGGGCCCCCACCACGGCCTAGATCTACAGTAGATGATGGTAGAGGAACCATCTTCCACAAGGCTTCTACTGACTGTTCTAGCATGGTGCTATGGCCTGAATCTTATCTAGAAGGTTTGACAAAGGTGTTTTTGACAGCTTGAGCCAAGGTGGAAGAGGTACTCTGAGATCGCAGGGCAAGATAATGACCATGATGATCAGCAAGCCACTTTACACACGCACCAGGCAGCGGGGTCAAGTCCTCACAAGGCGAAACAGAGCTGCAACACATGCACAGTCAGCAGAGTGCATGCAGCTGCAGCACACTTCGCCTCATGATCACGCTACAAAAGTAGGAGAAGCTCTATATGATCTACCCAAGCCGGGGACCACCAACACGCGACTCCATGCAGAATGTTATTCGTAACAGCAACAGAACATGTACATGGACATAATGTAGACGTCTAGTAGTAGTACTGGTAGTACTCCCGATCACATACACACAACACACGTACATGGCACGCTACAACAGTCAGTAGGGGTTCCAACTAATAATAATTATTACTTCCAGTTACAGGGAACGGAGCGTCTTTACGACTTTAGCCTAGTTTAGGACTCAGTGACGCGCTTACGAAGAATCACTCGACGCATCCCGCCAGCGCATGTTTCACAGCAAGTACAGCGGCGAAGTTCAAAGAACACCACCCCCAAAACGGGATAGAAGCAGATAACAGAATTATTTTCAGGTTTTTGGACGGAGACGTTCTGTTTTTAGTCCCTACAAAACCATAACCTACAAGACTTAGTGCAGCCCTTATTCCACTATTGTGTTCAAGGTCAAAGGAATGAATGCGTGTCAGCTGTAGAAGTAATACGAAGACCGAGACAGTACAGGGGCAGCGACAAAACAATTATCAGTATTGCTACTCAATGGGAAATGCACATGTTAGTGAGCACAAGTAGTTAGTTGAGGAAGAGGAAAGGTTCAGTACCGCGAAACGACTATCATTTTTGTGTGTACTTACTGCGACGCTTGGAGAAGGCCGACAGACAACCGAACGACATTGCGACCGCGTATCTGCAGTCTGCTTGGCTGTGTCGGAGAATTCTGTGCACACCTCTTGGACGAAATCAGTGTGCTGCACGATGTGCACTATGCATGTAAGCAGTAATGGGATGTGAGAGTTGGGAACAGACGAAAACCAGCTACCTGGTCAAGTCCTCTGCGCAAAGAGGGTCGGGGATGGAAAAAAGAGACTTTGACAGACTTCCACGCCACTGTAACTAATGTTACTTGTAAGAAGCAGCTTCTATCAAGAATGACTTCCGCTCCACAAGCACGGCAGGCGGGTAAAGAATTCCTGGTACACGTGTACCACCACTAATAACTACCGTCTGTACAAGCCTGATATGCTGGCACTTTCAATGTTCACTAACCCTTCTATTCACGAGCCGACAAGATAGAACTAACTATTACTTGCTTTGCTCGAACGCTCCAACATTTGCTGCACGGATTGCACTGTAACGAGCCTACACTTCTTATTAGTTCTAGCTCAACCAATGTCGCCCGCACTCGACCCGGGCAGAGAGCGAGAACGCACAAAATAATACAGCAATACTACCTCGACAGCAACGAGCTGCATGTGATCCAACAGAGAGGCGATATCGGCGTTTTGTGGCAGCGCCGCGTAACTGCTGAAGTGCTATATCCAGCACTTGCTCGCGTGCCGTGACACACACTCCTGTAGTCGCGTGGTGTGCCTAAGTGCGAGCGCATTATCAGCACTGCCTGATCTGGAAGTAGCACGGTTGCATCATGTGGGATGCTGACACTAACAGCACTCAGCTCCATGTCAAAGCTAAGAGCAGTTGTGAACCGCAAGGTGAAGTATCACCCAGCATGCTGCCCAGGTTCCAGTGTGTATATGGGCGTAGGATCTACATGACAGTATGATCATGGCGTGAGATCACGATTATCGACATGAAACGCGGAGAGCATGCACTATCAAGTACTCGTACAAGTCGTATAATACTAGTACTAGTAGTAGTGCGGGCACATAATACATGCGCATGCTGTGGCGTGCACCGATAGCGTTATGTGTCTGTGCACGTACTAAAACGTAACATTCACTGGCGCGTTTTTTTCTTGTGAAAAGAGAGGACTAGTACTAGTAGTAGTACTTGAAGTAACGTTAGTTGAACGTACATGTAGAACCAAGTCCTAGACTAGACGGTACATAATCCCAGCAGGCAGGAGTGTGATGTACTCTTGGTAGCTAGCATGACAGTTGACACTGATGCCGAGTGATGGCAGGCAATGACAACGAGCTTACTACTCAGACCTTGGTTACCCCGACGATAAATGCTCGTTGCCTTTGTGAATAGTGGTTTGAAGTCACGCATATTTTTAGTAGTGCTTATCTAACGCAGGCAGGCTTAGTGGGATGGTCCAAGACCATGATTGAGAAACAGTGGGTGGTAGACTCTAGGCCTTGACAGATTATGCTAGCATAATTTTTCGCATAATTCCTACCAAAATCGAATAATCGCATAATTCGAGGCAAATTGCATACGAATCGCATAAATTGGAATAATCCGCCTGTTCGCATCAAATTCCATACAGTTGTACATGTTCTTCAAGTACAAGTACAAGTAGATGCACCAGGAAGTCGTAGGTTTACGATTCCCTTGATTACATGTCCCATCCACTACAATCAGTGACGGTCATACATGTAGCTAGGTCGGACGGTGCGGAACTTTTGCTACTACAGTACAACGCCCTCTACAAAAATAATTCGCCTGTTATTTTGCACAGAACCATCATATACATTAGCAGCATATGCGAGCATAATGCGGCATAATATGATAACTTTTAGTATAAAAATAGCATAAGTCTGCAATTTTTTCAGCAATGCGAAAAGCATAATTTCACGAAAATATTAGCATAATCTGTCAAGGCCTACAAGACTCTACCACAAGTACGAGGTTCATCTCCTGCTTGGAAGCGGAAGGATTTTTTGAAGCCATGCTGAAATCGTGGCCTGGCACGAGGGAAACATGGATGCAGTGAGTGGGATTTTCGGTCTTAGTCTGCTGGTGGGCTGATCTACTCACCTCCCATCGCTTTAGTAGGAGCTGCATCTGCGCCTTAGATCTTTTATTTGCAGTGTGGTGGCGTTAATACGGATGCTGAAAACTACTCAGTCTGACTGTGTGTCAAGCCAACCGTGATTTTTAATCTAACGTTACTCTGATCGAGTGGCGCTACACTATTCTCAGATATACTGTACAATCATGTAAATGCACATACACGCGAGGCCTGGCACAATGCCAACGTTTACAATAGAGAATATCAAGTAGTTTAGTTAGGTCTACCTTCCGTAAATGTGTCTGCAATGTTGTGTGATGTACATGTATAGCGCTGATGTCACCCCATCTCTCCTGTTTGTTTGCATGTTTGGTCTGTGTGTGTGTGTGCGTGTGTGTGTGTGTGTCACTGTGTGTAATACAGACAGAACAGAACTTCAATGCTTGCGTTCTGTCCCTGCTGTTGTATGGCTCTGAGTGCTGGACGCCCCTTCAGCATGACCTGCAGAAGCTCTCAACCTTCAGCATGAGGTGCATCCGATCCATCCTCGGGGTCTCTCGAAGCCGGATGTGGGACGAACACATCACCAATGAAGAGCTACTGGTGCGCTGGGGAGACTCCGAGACGATTAAAGACAAAATTGCACATCGGCGGTTGGAGTGGTTGGGGCATGTGGCGCGGATGCCGGACAACCGCATCCCAAAACAGGTACTGTTTGGCTCCTTCTTGCAGCGTCGCCCAGCACATGGCCCACGCCGCAGATGGAAGGACTGTGCTGTCCGAGATCTACGTGCCCGTGGCGTGGAGGCATCATGGTATGATGTTGCATGTGAGTCTCGCGCGGAGTGGCGCAGCACCTACCAAGAGCCTGACAATGTGCCTGAGCCTCCGCCCCGAGTGGTATGTACGGTATGCGGACGGGATTTTGCACGGAAAGGAGACATGGCTCGGCATAAGTGTCTGGAGGAGCGTGCGCGGCCTGTGTCTGAGCAGCGGGGCGCCAGTCAGTGCGGGCGGTGTGGGCGGTGGCTGAGAAGCCGCGGTGGCTTGGTCCGGCATGTGTGTGCCTCAACGGTGGATGCCGCAGTGCCACCTGGAACTACCGGAGCGTCGGCACCGGCGGAGGGATGTTGTGCCGCGCATTGTGACAGGTGTGGTCGCTGCTTTCGCGGTGTCCGGGGACGGGGAAGGCATCGCTGTTCAAGGGTGGCTCATAGACCAACAGCAGCGGAGCGCTCAGCCTTCCAGCACGTGTGCATATGCGGCAAGCGGA